ATATCTAGCGAGGATGTCAAAAATAGGTTGCTGTAGACCGAAGAACATGAAGAAAAGATCGAGAATCCGAAAGACCACAATGTAACGGTAGGAAATTAGCTCATCCTGGAAATGACGTTTTTCAAAGTGGAAGGGAACGAAGTAACGAACGAACAACGAACCAGACGGGACACAGTTGTCACAAGAATGTGAGTGGCGTAGATGCCAGCCAGTAATGATGGGAGAGTGATGAAATCAAGTACTTTCAAAGGTCTGGAAGTGTGTAATTTTCAGTGGAATAATATCGTGGGCAATCTGATAACTCACATTAATCCTTTGTCTTGGTACTCGAAATATATTACCAGACTGCCAAGGGTGGCGAACAATCGTACGCATGGGGCTTGTAACACCATCCATTCACAGATTCTGACCTTCTTGCTAAAAACACAAATGTCATACCTGATTTTAGGATATAGTGATGAAAGCAGCGCATTGGCTAGGAGGTGCACATCCACTGCCGTAGCAATCATTGCATAACCCATTCAATGGCTACATTCAAAAGTTTATTCATTACGGTTCTGAATGGAAAGAGAAGGCATGGCGCATCCCAAAAGAGGGCTGATCGATGAGAAATGCTTTACAAATCTTCAGCTCCAATCAGCGCTTTCGGCATCTTTGCTGTCTCATCAATATCAGGTACAAGGCTGTGGTAGCAGTCACGTGTTACGAGTATAGGATATTTCGGTAAGCAATGCTCAGAACCATTGGGTGGTCCAGCCAAAATGCATCATTCTGAGCACTTAGAACCTTAACGCTAATGTAGGAGGGTGGGAGGGGGGGGGGGGAAACGATGAGCTGGATGAAGCCACGCTCATTTCTTCGCACGCCCTTTTCAGTTCGTTCTTAACAACAGCACCAACAGCTCCCTTGGTGGCAGAGCGCAGAAAGTTGCGATAGGACATGGTCGTTTTCCTGCCAAAAGTCACCCACTGCGTCAGCACCAAGTCCTCATCAATCTGAAGAAGTTTTGGGATGCATGGCTTATTGCGAGTAGGGCATGCTGTACCTTGGGACCTCTGAAGACAAGGAGATAATTTAGCTCTTGTTTGCGAGGAAAAATTCAATGGAAGTAGGGCGATAATTGGTTTTTCAGAGGCTCCCTGTACAGTCTGATTCGCTGCGAATGATGGGGCGTGTCCGCACGGCTGCGTTAGGCACGCCGTCATCCGCGTTGACACGCCCATCATCAGCAGCGAACAAGATACCGCCGCTTGATGGATTTTTTTTGGATCGAAGGAAGAAAATTGTACTCAGAAGATGGCTCATCGTCGAGGGCAGTAGCAGGGTTTATCAGATCGAAACGAGTTGTAAAGCCTTTCAATTGGATAATGTCCAGGTCAATTCAGAAAGAAAATAGACGCTATAATTCTGATGTAACTCACCTCTCAAGTTGTATTTTCGGCAGGCATGGGAAGACACAGCAAAACGGTGGAGTTGCCACTTCGATATGCTGTAGA